AACAACCTAACCTTTAGACTTATGAATTCTAAAATATTACGTAAATTTTAATACTTATTAAGAGGATGTCAGCGCAATATTTCCATAGATCCACGTGCAACATACCAAGATAGATAAAATGCAATCACATATTTTTTATTAATCTTTAAGTAAATCAACTATTAGGTACAAATATTGTAAATAATGTATGTGTTATTATTTAACTTTATATTCAAATGAAAAAAAAATGTACACTTTAAACAGTTTAAATGAATAATAAATTGTTTTGAAGATTTTTAGACAAATCGATATGTTACAAACTAAAATAATAATAAAATATTATTAATTACTAATTCCTTTGTAATTTTATTTAAAGATCACTCAAGAACATAATAAAATATATTTTGCATATATTTTATCTGTACTCTATATTGCTTGTGGACCACAGAAAAAACAGAAATAGATACTCAATTTGAGTTTTTATTTATTTAAATGCTAAATTATATGGGATTTCTTAATATTTCTATTTTGTATTATTTCTGATATTGCTTGCAATAAAGTCGAGGTATATTAAAATAAAAAAACAAAATATATTTCATAACCGCATAATTTAAGAATAATTTCCTTCTTAAAAAAAACCTACCTAGTCAAATTCCAATACTGTGAATAACTCTGCAGCATAGACAAGTAAGTAATGCAATTTATTTGAATTTTTTTAATATATTTAATATTTATATTTGTATTTAAATTTGTGTTTAAATACCTAAGGAAAATAATTACATACCTTCATTTAAAATACTCTACCAACACGTCATAAGTATGTTTCAACAAGTATACAACCAAGTAACGTAGCCCATGTTACTAACTATGTAAGTGTATCGTGTACGAGTGTATATAAATGACCCTAAAAGTAACGCGGACAACGTACAATTGTATAAATAAAACACGATTACCTCGAGCGAGAAAATTATATTTTCTCTAAAAAACGACAGTTACTATCGTGCGCACGGTCATATTATATTAATACGAACGATCGCGCAGCAATCAGTGACGATAATGAGTGATGACTTCTAATGTATTTTGACAATATAATCTATAAAGAATAATATTTTTATCCTTGGAATCTTCGATGCACCGATGAATCGCCTTCAAACGTTCTAATATAACTAGGTAAATACTTACAATATTTCATGTTTCGTTAACAACAATTCACATCACAAATTAAAATTTAAAAAATGATCGATGTTTTAATACGACATAGGTAGACAAACCGATTGTATGTGGCTGTATGCGACGCCACATAAAAACTAAAGGGATTGTATTTTTGAGCGAATGTTATAGTTACCGCACGGATATATAATATAAATTATAATAGTATGCTTAAGTTCCTACACAACAAAAATATTCTCGTATTATGAGTCATATTATGTAAATTCCTGTACACGAATAATAAAAATGTAAAATATGTAAATTCCTATAAATGATCCAAAACTATGATCCTACGTGTAAATTAAAAAATCACGAAAATATCATAAAATGTTTTCATAGAAAAAAAATTTAAGTAATTTGATTGTAAATAATATGTAGTTTAGGGGACTTTGAGCTTAAACTAAATAATAAATAATTTAAAAACAATAAATTATAAGAAGACGAATGACCCAGTTTTATACAAAAATTATTTTAAGTATAAATAGTTATAATTTTATTTCTATATATATCACATATTTCCCTTGCATAACACAAATATACACATGATATAATAATTTATAATATACAAATTAGATAATCTTTCAATTTTGGAAAAAATTCAAAAACTCAATAAAAAAGCTCAGAAATGTTATGTAAGGTTAATAGTTTCTACATTCTTTTAATTTATTTCTGATCAAAACTGAAACCCATTATGTACAACAGCAAAATTGAAAACTAAAATTTAAAATTCATTTATTTTTAAAATTTGTCATCAATTTTAGAATAAAAAAGAGGCATTTTAATTTATAGGTAACTATATCAATTTTTATATTTCTAGTAAATAATACGATATCATATATTAAATAATTAATTAATTTAACTTATTTGTTTTGCGTGTTAACATATTGTCTGCATGTTTTAGATTTTTTATTTAATAATATTGAACTGGTTAAAAAACTATTTCTCAAAATTGCCGAGTCGTGTACATTTTAATAACCATTAATAGGTATACTATATAGTATAAAAACAGGATACACGATTCCACAAACTTAATTATTTTTGTAGGTACCTATACAATTCTGAACGATTTTAAATGCCACGTTGCCATATCAGAAAACATATATAAATGAATATATTATTGTTAAATACCTACGTAGTGTTTTGTGTAATAGACGGTTCATTACAGTTTTTTGAAAACATGATTTTAGTTTAGACTTTAAACATTGTAGGACTTACCGTATTATAATTTATAATAATGAGAACAAATAAATATAATGACAACATTGCATAAAAAATGATATGGAATCGTGTACGAAGTACCTATATTTATATAAGTATGTAGTTATTATAATCTTTAACAACTTTCTGAATCATTCACAATTATGCCAACAAAAATTAGTTCTGCTTAACACAAATTTGCTATGTTATGAATATTTGTGAGACGGGAACAACACGTAATGCAGTTCCCTCTTTCCGACGATTTGTGAATGTACCACATGTGTTAAAATATAACTACTTAAGTATTAAGAGATAATTTTTGAATATTTAAAAAATGAATATGAATCGTTTAAGCCTAGAATATAGTATGAATTTTACAAAAGATACGTCGTCTTCAGTTTTGCAAGAGAATTATTTTATCGCGATGATTTGTTAAAATTTAACAATTTTATGTAGTCATAATATTTCAAAATATATATAATTTTATAGAATTTAAAATACTGAATAATTTTTTATGCATTTACAGTTCAGATGAGAGGAGTAAAATTACAAGGACAATGAAAAACAAGTTTTAGTATTCGACAAAATTATATAAGTATTTGTATAATATATTTCTTTTTCTTTTGTAAAATTGTTAAGTTGTATAACTAGTAAATACTTAAAATCATAAAAAAAACTATATTTTAAATACCAAAAGTTCACATAGAAAATTAATGTATTTACTTTTCACAGTAATAGCAATAGATTTAAATATAGAAGTAAATATTACTATTATTTTAATAATTTGTTTAGATTTGATCGGTTCATCAAGTCACGCGATTTGAGCCCCACACATTTCTATCAAACCTTTAACATCCAATACTGTAGTGAGTTGGAAGATGTTGTTTATTTTATTTTTAAATAATATACAAATTTAATTTAAGGAAAATGTAATTTGTATTTACCTACCTATCAAACTTATACTTCTGCACTATACGATAATTTGGTAAATACCAACGCGGCACCCACTCACTAAAAAATATAAACGTTTAGTAGAGGATAAAATATTTATAAACGTGTTGAAATAACACGAATTTGCAAGCTTTAGGTACTTAAATATAGAAATGTAAGACACTAAATTCTACTAAACCTCCGCACACTGTATACATAGTAATTCGGAATTTTCATGCGTGGGTTTACCTTCATTCTACAGACGATAAAATATATAGTTAAGACTTATAAAATATAATATGTGCCCCTCTCTTTTTCATCATTTTACACTTACACAGATAGTACCTACCCAATAACTTCAGTAGAAGATTTAATGATTTTCCGGCTATAAGTTTTCACCAACCAAAAGTTATATTTTTCATTCTGTGACCGAAAATCACAGTTGCGCACGTGATAAACGTGATATACAATATTCATTTTAAAACAAAACGTATACATGCAAACATCTATAACATGTAAATGTAAATATTCCAATTTCCAATAAATCAACAAAACATAATTATTACACAAATAAAATGGTTTATTTTTTGTTTAAAATATTATTACATAGTACACTAAACAAAGACTATCTAATAATAATTAAAATATTCTTTTATTTAAAAATGATTTAACGCTAATGGTTCTCTTTTTCGTAACAATATTTTGAATATATGTAAAACATCATCAATATACTTTTAAATTTTTCATTAACACAATATCATAAAAGAAAAAAACTTAAAAAGACGTCAGCCTTATTATTTTTATATAAACATTTTTTTTTTTTTTTTTTTACAAACAGTGCGTATATTGTGGTTTCACTCTAAACGCCAAATCTGGTAATAATATAAATAACAAAAGTAAAAGGGAAGGGTATCAATTATAATAATTATATAATATTATTATTACTGGAAGATGTGTACCTTTAATAGTACGTACTACGTACAGGTCTCGGCAGACGGACAATAACCGAGAATATATCGTCACAGACGATAATACAATAAAAACAACATAATTCAAGAAGAAAATTACATTAAATTTATAATAACAATAATATATAATAAGAATATTTATATAATAATATAATATAATGATGATTATAATATAATAATAATTAATAATAATAATAGATTGACATAATAATATCACAACATTGTATAACTCTAGGACATTCAGAATTGCTCGATAAAGACATTAGATAAATATATATTTTAAAATAATTTTACTTAGTTTCTCTTTTAAAAGTTTTAATACTGAACAAATATTGAATTGGAAGCTTTAAATAAAAAAAATATTTATAAACGATTATAATTTTATGCTTATTTCATAAGAAATAAATTGTAACAACTTGCGATACACGCGTGATATTATATGGATGATATAATAATTATATTATAATCCGTATTTATCAAATAGTGTACGCGCTTTAAATGAAAACCGTCTGTTTGTTTTTTTAATAATCGCGTGGTTAACGAACTATAGCAGAGAGATGGTACGCGCGCGCGACACGAAGATGTTCATCTTTTTTTTGTAAATGTGTTTCCTTGACGTAATATTATAATAATTATAATTATTTACACGTTTTAAAAATCGGAATGTTTATTACAAACAATGCAATGTTATAAATAAGATGTTTAATTAAAAATTTTTTTTGGTTTTTTTTATTTTAATTTTTTTTTTTTTTTTTGAGAAAGAGGGAAAGTTTAATTAATAAAAAAAGATTAACTTCACACACAATATTTGTAAGGGAGACGATAAATAATATTATACAAGAATGATATATTATTATACGATTTAAAAACTTCTGCGCAGTATACTAGAGTTCATATCATATATATATATTTTTCAGTATAATTTTTTCCCCGCAACACGCACGATCTCTCACCGGTTGAGATATAATCATGAACGCGTGATATATTATATTTCCAATCTTGAGTAAAACAAAAAAAAAATTTGTAATTGCATGAAGTATGCGCGTGTTTTGTGTGTTTGTTTGTATGTATGTATATTATATATACAAATATATTAAAAAGAAAATAATAAGAATAAGTCTCTCATACTCGGGCCCAAAACGTTTTTTCTTAGCCTATAAATAATATAAATACATTTATGAAAGAATTTCCTGATCGAATTTTACTCAATTATTATAAGACGTTTGCGATAAAATGCATACAATATTATTAACCGTCTAATTTATTGCTGAATTATGGATACATATATTAATATTATTTTGTTTTTAAACTAAATATTGAATTAGAAAAAAATAATAACACAATAATAAATTTGGTGTTTCATTTGTTGACCGTTCCGCTCTATATACTGCAGAATGTATTCCCTACTCTTTTGGTTCATATGGTATATATAATATGCAATAGTCAACGGTGTATGCCAAAACGCAAAAAAAATTGTGGCCAATTAAGTACGTAACGAAAGTATACATTTTTTTTTTTTTTTTGTTCAACTTCATAAAGTCTAATACATTTTTATACACGGAAAACGTACCTAACACTCAAACACGTTATTAAAATATATTGGACAACAATTTAAATAAATTAATAGACGTTCAAAGATTAATCGTTTTAAGTCGTACGGACAATATACAAACGTGAAAATTTGTTCACTGGGTCGGCGCCGTTACGCGGGTGTCAAATAAAAAATTGTTGTGATGGAGGGGACAGGCGAACGGGGCAGAGTGTGAGAGACTTGTTTTTTTAGAGATCATGTATACATAAAATAACATAATATGATGAACATTTTGTTGTTAAATTGTTAAACGTATCATTTTTCTAAAAAAAAAAAATAATAATAATAGTAATAATAAAATTTAAAAAAATCAAATTCAAACACACTTATGAAGGGCAATGTAGTTGTGCCGGCAATTGGCTGTGGTGTCCTATGGACATGGTCAGCTGCGGCTGTGGATGGTAATAGTAGTACATGCCCTGACCGGCCATTAGCCGCCACGATAGTTCTGCGATCAGCGACAGCGTCTGATGCCTCTCGTGTATCATCAAACACACTGTGCTCTCTTCAACCACCTGTTTCAGCACATTGAGGTACTGGAGCTTCATGTATTCCTCTTGAGGTGCACAAAAGTGATTTTTCAAATAGTTCTCCAGCTTGGCGCGCTGCTGGTGTATATCGGAGAAGTCAATGAAAAACCTAGAGCACATATACCGCTCCAACTTCTTGGTGCCGTCACCGTCGTAGTCAGGCGCGTAGTTGCGTAACAACAGGTTGCAGTATTTAAGCAGTCCGCCGCCCCGAATCTCTTCCGGGTTCCTGGTGACGATTAGCTTGTTCTCCAGGTGGTACATAGCATCCCGGAAGTCACCGTACACGGACTCGCCGACTACTGTCGGATAAAAGCTTTCGCTGATCGGCACACCGCTGGAACACTCGTAAAACAGCAGCAACGAGTCGAGCACAATCTGGAACGAATCGACGCTGAACTCGAACGGCCTTTTCATCCGGTCTACAAACTTGAGCTCGACGTTTCGCTGGCCCGGCAACGTGCCCAGCGATATCAGCGACCACCGGTCGCCGTCCTTGTTCACTTTAACCATTTTGCTCACGTATGCCTCCTTGATGCTGCACGGCGTCATCCTCTTGCGACTGACGCCTTCCGGCAGCAGATCAACCAGTGCCCGGAGCACAGCGGATTTGACACGGTCGAAGTCCCGGTTTCCGGTCAGGCTGATGTTGAATATCAAGTCCAGGTCGTTGTATGGCTGGGTATCCGTGGTCAATACATGCGAAGCCGCCCCGCCGTTCAGTCTAATGCTCCGTACCTGAAAGCACGTGTCGTCGGCGCCCGGCGACGGTGCCGCAGATCGTTCGGTCGGGAACGCTACGTCGTCGTCCTCAGGACCGGCCTGAGCGCGCAGTCGGTCGCGCACCATCGCCACCAGGTCGCGGAGGCGCACCTCAAGCGTGGGAAAATTACCGCGGCCATGGATACTGACTGTCTCGTCCATCACATCGTTTAGTCGGGCCACCTGTTCATAGCTTAAGACGGCCAAGCGGCTGAGATCTGTTGATTGCGCGCGACTACCCGGAGTAGTGGCGGTCCCACGATGGCGGTCATCGCACGTGGACAACATGGCAGCGGGTCGCACGTGATTCAAGTCTGTCGAAACGTTTAGACGTCCGTTCTGTAAAAAAAAAAACACGCAGAGTTACGGTTAACCGAATCGAATAGAAAACACCTATTTATAAAATATAATAACATGTAATTGTGACATGCAAACCCTAACCGCATGGCGGCGTCGATTCAAAGGCGATATACAAACGTATGTTACATCATGAAACGGCGAGTTATTCAAGGGCAAACGAACAAAGGTCGACGTTATACTATTGTAATATATTCTACTGTAAGAAAAGTCGATTTCAAAAATATTGCTCGAGTGGAGCATGTGTGTTGCCATATGTGTCGAGTCGTCAAGCCTAACACAATACGTACTAACTAGTACTACAATATTGGTGACGTACTGAGTTAAAACCGACAGGTTTAAGGCGGGTTCATAGGTACCTATGTTTCGTCTGACGTGTCTCAAAGTCAAAATCTAAAAAAAAGTCCAACTCTGGAAACTCTTAGTAATTGAATGATACATTGATATTAATGATACCATATGATTGCTACAGTCAATCAGAATACGATTAAAATCATCCGACGTAATTGTGACTCCGACTAAATATTATAGTCGGAGTCACAATTACGCAAATATGCGCGAAAACTTCAATTCACGTTATTTCGCGTATTTATTAACGATTCATGTTTACGCACGTCGTTTTGACAACGATAGGCGTTGACTTCGGGAATAACTATAGGTACAACAGCTGTGCAAACCGCTTGGGACACACGATTAGCAACATAGGTTACCAGCAACTTTAATACTTACGTCGACCACAGCCGACTGTGACGATCAAATACGCGGAGAATGATGCGCACGATGACGTACAACCACAGTAATGTCAACCGAAATTTGCGTTTGCTCGGAAGACAAAAAAAATACGTTCAGTCGACATGCGTGCAGATTTGGCGAATATTTTTTCTATCAACAAACTGTCGAAGCGATCGCAAAATCAAAATATTATTATTACGTCGATATTATATTGTTTTTCAAAAAAAATGCCATAGAGCGGAAATATAGATCCACGATAAAATAATATAAAATAGCCAATATAATAATACGGCGCTTAATAATTCATAATTTGTTCAACAAATTGTTTACTTGCCATTTTATTATTTAGACCGACGTCGTAAACAATACGATTTAAAATGTATAAATAACTGACTGGTACCTACGAATATTTTAAACAACAGCGACGTTTTTACCAGACATTTTGGCTAATTTCATAAAATTATAATTCGAACTGAAGAATTACGTCAACAAATATGGACCATTGTGCTTCATCGACCTATAGCAAGAACATTAAAAGTCAAGGACAGCAATGATACAGAATTTTATTTTTTTGGTCAACTTTTGAATTTTTGAAACGATTGTATACCTATCTATATACTATACAATACGTATATTACAGTAAACAACCTTATGTCTGCAAAATTACACAGTTAACGAATTGGAAATAGAATTTGCATAGCATACTTGCTATAAAATAGAGAAATTAGACTACCTAATTCAAATCAAGTTAAAACATTAATCTATTTTATACAGCGTAAACGATTTAAAAAATTATAATTATCAATGAGGCTCTTCTAATCATATGTGCTAATTTATTTTTTTGACATTTCAACGATAAATAGAGGAAAAATCACGAAAATACAAAAAACATGGTAAGGCACTTACGTGCGACCTTCGCATATGGTACGATTATAATATTATCACCGTAATCGAATTTCCGGTAACCGATAAAATAAAACACAGGCAAAAAAATATCGACCATTCACAATCCGTTTATAAAACCAAACAATATGTCACACACACACGTAGTTAATGTTAATATTATTATTAAAGAACACTAATATCAAACCGCTCGATATCAATACCACTGCAAGTATATTATTATTATTATTATTATTATCGTAGTGATAAAACCGAGGAAAACACGACGGGCGGCGAGGACGAGGTTTTATCCGAGAGCAGCAGCTGCTCGCTTACCGTGGGCGCGGCGGCGACGAACCTTCTGGAACATTCTACGCGGCGCGTTCGGCGGGGTAGAGGAAAGAGGAAAAGCCCTGCGGGGAACGGTGCGGTTTCGCGAACGTTCGACGATAACGTCGGTGGCGACGGGACACCGCGTGCGCGGATATTTCCATACATGGATGTAATAACAATAATATATAATATAATAATATTTAAATATTTTGTAATTTTTCGAAATTCGTGAGGGACGTGAATTTGAAAATGAAAAAAAAAACAAATAAATGCTATGCAATAGCTTAAAATCTTAAATCATCGTACTTTGAGGTAAAGGTCTTTTTCCATCGTACAACGCGCCCCAGTCCTAGTGGCAACTTTGAAGCGAATTCTGGCAAGCGTGAACAGCACACGATTTCGACGAGGAGCAGAGAGTAAGTAAAGAGCCCACACTTAACCTCCTCCTGCACCGGTGCGCGGTGGTTAGATGTTTTTGATCGGCAAAAATAACGTCAATTTAATGAACGCACCACACGCGACTCGGATCACTGACGACGGCGAAACACGTAAAAATACGAGTCGGCGACGACACAGCAGCGGTAGCAGCAGCAGCAGCGGCTACTTGGCGACGAGCGTACCGGAGGGCGCGCGCACACACGTCGTGACGATCAGACACCGCAAACAGAACGGAACTACTGCCGCGGCACGGCCGATCCGCGATCAGTCGTCGCCGGCGACGACCCGCGCGCTGATCCCCCACCCGAACCATTGCAGTGCTGACGACAGCGACGACACCACCGCCACCACCGCCACCACCACAAACGGTCAGGTTACCGCCGCCGCCGCGTTTGGTATTTACCGTGTGGACCGGTAATTATTGTACGCGAATCTTAGTCGGCGACCAAACGGTGCCGGCCACGCGGGTGTTACCGCGCACGGTCTAAAAATATCGTTCAAAGGGCAAGGCGAAACGGTAGAGCGGCGATGCCAGAAAAAATAAATACCAGCCGTATATCTAATTACTAGATAAGTCTTTCCGCTTTATACGCCAACGGCAGGCACTGTCTAGTGCAATACATACCACTGCGAGCTACCCATCGTTACGCGGCGGCTATAAAACAATAATTATCAAACGTGGGACGTGGGTGTGAATAGGGTGGTTGAAAGAGTAAAAACGGGTTAGCGGGGTTAAGACCGATTGATCTGTGAAACTTGACTTTGTCCATTACATAATTGCAAAAAAAAAAAAAATAATTATAATTTCCATAATATTGAAGAAGATAATGTTTAATAATTATTTCCGTTTCTTTTTTTTTTTTTTTACCTCCTAACCTCCTGCCGTCGAAGATCTATAAAAATATTGTCCAATCACCCCAGTAAAAATGCCTTAACATGCATCTGTTGTGTAGTCAATTTCGAATGTTTGTATATAACACGGCGCTGTCGCATCGATTATAAATTACAATTTATCATAAGCGCAAAAAAATCTAATTAATGTTTTAACGATTTTGTATTATTCGTTTTCGTAATAAATCTTCTTAAGGTGCCTATACAACATAAAATGTTTTTAAATCAAAATAAGTAAGCTGTACAAATAATGGTAATAGACAGTTATTTTAGTTAAAAGTAAATGTTAAACATTAAACTACGTCATAACATTATATCAATACAAATGTATAAATCTAAAATGGTATTTTATATAATTTAGTACAAATAAACTTCAATACTTAAATTTAAAATTTAATTAACTTAATATTAATTTAAAAATATGTCAATTAACTTTTTGTTAAAAGACTCGAAAACAAGCGTCTTTTAATTATACAAATTGTATTATTTAGATTAAAACAAATTTGAAGTGGTATAATCTAAAATTATTTCGGCGGGATAAAACTTGGTTTTTAACTTGTTACAGCGATCAATTTACGTGATAACAGGTCAAAAGTCACACACAGTTATTTAATCATTTATCAAGGTACTATTAACTAATAACCAACATCATATGGTATTCGTGTGTATTGTATTTTAATAATTTTATCATTACAATATTTTTGAATACATTCTAGAAACACCAACGAAATATAATGGAGAACAGTGACGTAAGCATCAAAAATGCGCTTCGTTTAATGAAGGAGGGAAAGGAATGAATAGGGATGAAGAGGAATAGTGGTGGTTTATGTATTCCATCCTTTTTTTTTTTATTATAATCCCAAATGGTCTGACGCCAACGGGAGTAGCGTGGGCGTCAGACGATATGACGTCATTTGAACGACGAGAACTACGTCATAGGCAACACAACCATTCGGGTCGGGAGCTATATTCCAAAATTCCTTAAATGTGCATTTGAATTAACTCTTTACTATTCAACTGTTATCTTTTTTATAATAATTTTAAGATTGATTTATTAAAATATTAATTTTGTTGAATTTCTCGATCAGTGATGTATATTTTATTCTTTTTTTTTTTTAATTTAATAAAAACCCCAAAATTTATTTTTTATACATAATAAAATTAATATGCTAAAAATCTAAGATTTGTCTACTTAATTATTATTAATAAATTATTGTAATATGGCTGTTGTAAATTTTATTATTATTTAAACACGTATATAATTAACTAACAGCTTATAATAGTATTAAGACTTAGAATGTAAAGATGTCTTGATTTATATATATAAAAAAACACTAATTTAAAATATTATACTTTTGATAGATATTTATGAAATATTAAACGTCTAATGTAAATGAATATATTTCTAAGCTGTGGGAGAGATAAATAAATTATACATAATAAGTGTGAATAGACAATTATTTTATGCCTTATGAGTATTCAAGAACAGATTTATATTTAAATTAATTGGTAAACATTGAATTATCTGTGACTTTCAAATATATTTCTTAAGGTATGAGATATTTAAAATGATTTGTGATGATACTTTTACATGAGTAATCAGGTCAAATTCAATTTAATTAAGTCTTCAAACGTTTCATAATGCTACTCCTGGTCATTATATTCGATAACCCTAATTTAAAAATGTCTTTGTTGAGTAATAATGA